ACTGAAGTGTATATGCTTGCAGCCTGCCCACCAGAAGATCTGGAGCAGCGCCTTCTTCTTTTTGATGTTCACGTTCGTGAGGGTTACAAAGGTCAGGCTGACTTGTGAGTTCACGAAGATGCTAGGAAAGTTTCATGGATTTTTCCGATGTTTTACATCCATGCATGGCTGCCTGGCAGGCCTGCACTGCTTGTTTGAGACGAATCTGTCGTACTGGTGGAAGATGCACCCGGATGCCTATGTGGACGTGCTGTCGAGCTTGAGGAAGCACAGGGCAGCAAACCCAGAGCTGCGGGGTTTGGTTGCCGGTCTTGCAGCCAGGCTCTTACGCCACGGGCCAGACAGGCGTGCTCGACACTTTCTTCTCCGAGATGTTTTGGACTTGCTCCGATCACCTGATTTGGAGGATCAGTTCCGTGCAATGGATACTTTGAGGACCTCAGCAGCCGGCTTGGGCCGGTTCACGAGCAAGTTCAAGGCAGCTTTGAATGCGATATTGGCTCAGAAGGCCCGCAGAACAGTGGCACACAGTCAAGCCTTAAAGGCTTTCCAAAGGCTGGACGACCTGTCCTCTCATCGCTCACTTCCGCAAGCACCACGCTCTCTTTAGCTGCGATGTTGAGCGCACTGTGTACATGTACAAGGCGGTCCCAGAGCTTCATGGCGCGATTAACGATGGCAAGCACAGATGGATCTGACGCTCTGGATCTCATTCTCTGTAGCGGTTGTGGGGCGAACCATTTCCGCTTCAGGAAGCTGGTGGCTCCGAGCGGTGTTCCAGCTTGGACAAGTCCGTTTCGGTCCCCGTACGATGCGGCCTTTGCGGGTGCGGACGTGGATGATATGGACTCCAAATGACTCCAAATACCCAAGCCTGCCTGCTGTAGTGAAGTCGACAGAGGCTCGCAGCTGGCCTGCAGCGTTGAGACGGTGGAGTGAAACAAGCCAAGGTGCTGCTTTCATGCGCTTGCTCCAGGTATGTACTAGCGTGTTCTTGCATCTGAGGGATTGCGTTGCGGGGGTGTGCCCTTCATGCGTTCTCCCTGTTGCACTTGTTTGTGGAGACGGCGCCTCTAAGAGGCCGTGCGAGTAACCGCAATTTCTGGTGCTCGGGGTGGGGGGCTGGGGGGGGGGGGGGGGGGGGGGGGGGGGGGTAATCACGTGACTTGGGACTGCACACCTGCAACTCCAAAGCCTGAACCCCTAATCCCCAAAGGCCTAAACCCTTGCTGTTTAATTCGGGGTTTATAAGCAAAACGCGCCCGCGCCTTGGCGAGAGCAATTTCAAGCAAAAAATGTGTCTGAAACTTCAAAACAAGACCCCCTGGAAAAACACACACACACCAAACAAACGATCCTTAAACCCAAAAGAACTGTCCAAGCAGTGCAAACCCAAATCCTGAAACCTGAACCCTAAACTTTGAACCTTGAACCCTGAAGAAGCATCAACTTGAGGCCACTTTCAGGATCCGGTGCACAAGTCTGTTGGGTTACAACCAAAGCACAATTCCAGAAAATCATGCCTGCGCTGTGGCGAGAGCACTATTTCGAACCTGAACTGCCGGAGCCATAACGCAGAAAAAACTTCCCGAACCGAAAATCGCCATTTGAAAGTTCAACATGGGGAATGAGCAAAACGTGCCCGCGCCTAGGCGAGAGCGCAAATTCGAGCAAAAAACGCGTCCAAAACTTAGCTGCGGTGATCACGATTTCAGCCCACGACGCGAAAAATGTAAACACAGAATGTGTTCAGCCACACGGCCTCTTACGGGCGCCGCCACCTTGTTTGTGCCAGCACCACCACTACCACTCCCACTGCCACTAGCACGAGCACAAGCACGAGCGCAAGCACGAGCACGAGCACGCGCGCAAGCGCACACGCGCGCACACACAAGCTAGGTACAGACCGCAACTCAGCTTGGCCAGGTGCAGCTTGAACCTTTGGTGATGTAGAGATGATGTATAGGTGATGAAAAGGTGACGTATAGTACAGGTGATGTATTGTTTAGGTGATGCCGGTGACGCATTCAAGTTGGTGTGTAGGTCTGCGTAGCCGCGACTCAGCAACTCTCTTGTCTGCGAAAAGAAGGCCAGTCTTGAGAAGGGCCACTACTGCCTCAGAAGTTGCGGGGCACTCTGGAATCATGCTCATAGAATGGGAAGGTGCAGCGATTAGTTTTTGGACAGTCCACTTGTGTGACATGCACGTAGATGCACGTAGCGTGGACGGGGTGCAGCAAACAGGAGCCCACAAACGTTGAAGACCCGTGGCCCAGCCAAGTCCCAATCGTCGCGATCCCAAAGGCGCAAGATTTGTGTGAGGCATACAGACTATTGCAGACTACATGTACGAGTGCACGCTTGCCAAAGGCGTGTTGCACAGGAAACCAGTATGTAGCGAGGGTTCTGGGATTTGGGTTCCAGGTAGAGTTTATCCGGTAAGCAAAGAAAGCATGCATCATGACCATCAGCTGTCGCGCCTTGGTTGAGCCGCAGCCTTCCCCCCCGCTCACTGACCGAAAGAGCGACACGAAGAAGGTGATGCCAACTCAGAGACAGCCAAGACCAAGACTGTGATGTCTCGGATGTGAAGGAGAGCCTGGCACGTCAGCCTCGTCAAGCTAAAGCAAGAGCAGCCAAAGCTGCCGACCTGGAAACCCGGGACAACGGTCCTGCAACGGGGCAAGTCGCTGCTCAACCGATTCCCAATTTCCGGAATGAGAATCACGGGAATCCTGCATACACACGCACACAGAAGTATTCAAAAGCCGTTCCATGACATAAACAAGGAGTTGTTGAATGACCAGTTATGAGAATTTATTTCAGCAAGGTTTGGAGACCAGGACTCCCGGCTTGTGTTCGCCGGCGTGGCCTTCTTGGCTATCTGTCCAAGCCCTCAACTTCCCGGAAGATTCCGCCGAAGTTGCGTCTGAAGGATGATGTACCCTAAACCTTATAGCCCTCGACCCTCTATACATGCAAAGGTAATGCTTGAGCAAACCCTATGAACAATGCGTTTCGGGTGTCGGTCCTTCAGCAACCACTGCGGAAGATGTTTGCTGGCATGCTTAGGCGAAGCGTTCCTTGAGGATTCTCACAAGCAAATTCGCTGCGTGGCACTTTGTGCACATTGACCTCAGAGTTGCAAAACTCACTTGACTTCTTGTTGCGCTGTCTTCCTGCTGCCTGCTGCCGTCACCATGGAGCATCCACCGCGCCTTGAGGCGCATCTCGTGAGTTCTTTATGCGCTCATTGTCGCTCTCGAGCCGCAGGTCCGAGTGCAGGTGTATCTGCTTGCCTTGTGGCTCCCGTTCCTATTCCACTTGGCCTTGGAGCTGGATGGTTGGCCAAGAATTCCACGTTCGTATGTGGCAGTAGAACTAGAGAACACTTCCGCGTGTCAAGGCGAAGAGTGGTCATATGGACATCAAGGCGTGTGCATGAATCAGCCCGGTCAAGATCCCGCTGCTTGGCTTTACCTTGTGACATGCTCCCGTTTAAGACCGTCCTTTCTGGCCAGCGTTTGCCTGTGTCCTGGATGGCATGATGTTTATCGCATGAAGGTTTAGCATCGCGTGCAGTCTTTGTTCTCGTTGTGCATGTTAGTGGTATGGGGAAGCCGTGGGGGCCGCCGTTTCTGGGTGCCTTTGGGAAGTGGAAACTGCTGCGTGCCCAGAACTTCCTCGGTCTGTGGCTCTGCGGCATTCCTGTGGGGCGGGCCACGCGGAACTCCTTTGAGAGCGCAGTGGAGGAGCCGTTCGGATTTGCAGTCTGCTGCTGCACATTAGCAAGTTGTTGCGATCAGCGGTTAGTTTGACAATTTCGTTGAACTTGGTGACAAGTCAATCTGGGACCATTATTGTTGGACTTGTGTATGTTCCATGAGAATCAGAAGCCAGGGTGGGTGAAGACCTTTGCCGACGCAAACAAGAGCATGTTCGAAACTGCACGCGACAAGATGCAAGACCAAGGGTTCCATGCTCAGTCACATTCGTGCGCTGGACTTGCAGCGTTTACAGCTCCGCGCTGCGTGATTGCGCAATGGCATATTTCTCCAATGCTAGCAACTGATGGCTTCCTTTTTTGCTAAACGATACTGTCAACCTGGTACAAGTACTGCTATTGAAAGCAGCGAGCGCTAGATCAGTTAGCAAGAATGCGCTGCACGCCCACAGAATTGCATTGTCTTGTGTCGCACGGCCGTGACGGCTTTCATGATGGACACGATGCTGCTACGTTGGATAGGACCGCCGTTTTATGAGAATGTGTTCTCATGGCCGCATGGTTTCATATGGTTTGATGATGTGCGAACCCGCCAGGAGGAGACTGTGGTAAGGCAGAGCGCGAGCTGGCTCATCCAAGCGATTGGATCGATGCAAATTCCTGGCCTGGCTTTGGCAATAACTTTGAGTGGGTGGCTTTCCGTATTTTGTCGAGGCCCAACACAACTTGCGCCGTACGGAGCGACTTGCAACCCCGATCCGATGAGGCGCAGGCGGCTGTCCGTTGTAGTTGCGTCGGCAAGTTCACTACGTACTGCCAACCGTCTGCAGGCAATTAGCCTTGAGGACATGGAGCCATGGATGGGCGCTTTGTGGAAGCCCCTCGTGCTGCATAGGGTTCAAGCGCAGCCTAGCTTTCGAGCTCTGAAGCTTACGCGTGACTTACAAGAGAGGCTCTGCGAGACTAGCTCTGCGAGTTCGCTTCAGGTGTCCTCGCAGCCCTGATGCTACAAGCAACTCGCCCTCGCAGGATGATTGGGGGGCACATGCAAATCAGCCGGTTAAATGTCCGGGCACGTGACAGGACTTGGGCCAAGACGAGTTGGCCTTCCAGTTGGAGCGCTTGCGCAGCAGCTGCAGAAACTCGGAGGAGTCTGCGTGCCTTCACCTAATACGTCTTAAGACTGTAGATCCTGTATAGATCCTGTAGATGTGACTTCCCAGCTGACTTCTTCCAGGACTCCCGAGATTTCAGGGAGGTCGACGTTGAGCCGTGGATGTGGCTGTACTTCCAAAGGCATCCAGCCAGGGGCAGCCTGGGGCAGCCAACTCACACGTTTCTTGGGCATGACAATCATGACACGTCGCAGGTCAAGGGCGGAAGCGCTGGTGGTTCCTACGGGAGCCGCAGCGCTTCAGTCGAGCAGCCTGAGCCTGAGCACTGCAAGTGGAATTGCGCAAGCAGGCGCGTCTCAGTGCTTGACGGAATGCCTGTCATTGCAACCTTTGCCGTGAGACCAAAGCCTACTGCCGGCCTCTACGCCCTTGGCCTCTACGTGCACGCAGTCGAGAACTTGTTCATCGCAGGACCACGTTGCTATCAGGGTGCCTCAGGGCATGAAGACCATGTCTGGCCATGTGTGCAAGACTTGGAACTTTATGGAGGCATCCGAGGATGGCTCTGACAGTGGATCCTTTTCAGCGTCGCATCCGCGCTCGCCTGTGCGGGGACTCTGGGAAGTGGCCCGGCTTAAGCTGCCCTGGCGAGGCGTCGCTGTCAAGCAGGCCATATGGTGATTTCCCTAAACTGTGGTAACAAGGGACGCTGATTTTGAGCGCTGACCATGTGTGTTTCATGCCTTCTGCGGAATGAGCATGAGCTGTCACGCCTTTGCACCAAGCCACGGCATTGGCCTTAGGTGTGGAGCTGGGCTGATCAGTTCGCCTGTTGTCAGGCAGGGTGGCAGGGATGCGGCGTTTTTTTTCCATCAGCTTTGAACACAGACCCTGCAACGGAGCCCGCCAGAAAGTAGATATACTGGAAACTGGGGTCGCTTTTCTTTACAAACGCGCCATGCGCACCATCCTTTGCCGGAAACTGTTGCGCCAAATCTTGTGCACCGTCTAGAACGGTCAATGCTTGTTTCGGGATGGCCGTGGAAGGAGCCGGCTACAGATGAGGCAGAGGCCAGGAATCAGGATTTCTCCTTGAGATGTGTGAGAGACAAGGGGTCCAGGGGTGTAGGGTTCGAACGGCGGGTCTTTTCAGGACACCTGGAAGATGGCGGAATCAAGGCAGGTGATGGGCACAGCCTCTGGCGAGCTCCTGAGCGCTCGGAAGACGCGGCCTCTGCACCTGCAGTATGCTGGACAGTATGCTGCAGTTTTCTCGGCACTCAAAGGTGTCTTCTATGACGGTCTGCAGTCGGTGCTGGACTTTGTGACAGGCAGGCTTCAGGCAGGGAGTGCGATGCACTACGTAATTTATGACTCTGATTAGATGAATCATTCTGCTGTTCTTATTACTTATTATTGCTGCCGTTGTTGTACTACTTTACTGGGTTAGCGCCGCTTCTCATTCAAGCCTTCAGCCTTGTGACGCTTTGTTGCCCCGCTCAGGATTGCAGTCGTGCTGCTTGGGAGGAGGCTGATGAGGTTTCGTGCGAGCTGAATAGTCAAACCGGTAGAAGTGATAGCATATAGTTATCGTAACAGTAGTAGCATTAATGACCGTAAGTTGTGTTTAAGGGTGTGCCAGACCAGCCAGACCTCCCCAGGTTGTTGTGGAAGAGCTGCGGCAGCTTTCGTTCGACCAGGCCCAAGCAGATGTCGAGGCACAGGGTGGCCCTGCAACTCGTCGGTTTGTTCATGCTGATTGCGTCCCAGCCGCAGCCTGCAGCCGAACTTGACCGGTATTTTCACATGGCAAGCACAGCAGAAATGTCAGCTTTGATGGGGCTGGAATTGCTGCGCGTTTCGTGCGGCACGTCCTTCGTGTTGCGTCGGAGCAGAAGATCTTGGACATGGAGCCACGAAAGACAAGTAAAGAAGCTTTCTGGAAATGTGCGCGCGGGCGGCCAGGGTAGGCCTTCTTTCCCTCCGTTCCTGATCTGGAAATTCTGCCGACAAGACTTGAAAGGTTAGAAACAACATGTCCCAGCCTCCCAGACAACACTAGAGTCTCTAGAGCTCAGATATCCAAGCTCACAAATGAGACTAGCCGAAAGCCTGTTGACAGCCTGAGAAGCCTTTGCGACCAGGACCCTGCGTCAGGTTGCTTGGAAGATCTGGGCCCTGAGCTGCCGGGCTGATTGAGGAAAGTCCATAGGTGAGCTTAACTTTGCGCGTCGGCGTTCGCTGGACACAGGGCCAGCTTAACAAGCTTGATGGGGCCATGTCAGGAAGGTGTTCAGTTAGCTTGAACGAAGTATTCGGATGTGCAAGGCGCCTTTCATGTTCTTGAACCTGTTGACCTGATTGCAAGGTTGATGCGCTGTGTAGGCAGCTATCTCGGAGCTGCTCGGCTGCATAAGCTCGGGACTTGTGGATGTGCAACCTGTTTTGGCATTTGGGGAAGCGAGTGACTTCCAGCACCGGGAGCTGGAAGTCACAGAGGCAGGCTTGATCAGGCTTGGTTGTGTGCCAGAACACTGCATAGACGAAATGTCCGCGTCTGCCTCGGATTCTGTCAGGTTTCCCCGTTTTGCTATTACCGCGCTGCGTGCCGATTGAACGCAGAGCCGAAGGCAGAAGCTTCTTTCGTTCTGTAGCGTGCTTGAAATGCAAGGAGGGGGGTCGGAGAAACCAAGCTGCCAGGAACTTGTGGCCCACTGGGCTGGTCTGGTGAAGCCAGACAGGCCCAACGTTTGCCCTTCATGTTGTATGCCGTCCCAGTCCGGCCACGCTCCCACGCTCAGGACTGAAGTGTATATGCTTGCAGCCTGCCCACCAGAAGATCTGGAGCAACGCCTTCTTCTTTTTGATGTTCACGTTCGTGAGGGTTACAAAGGTCAGGCTGACTTGTGAGTTCACGAAGATGCTAGGAAAGTTTCATGGATTTTTCCGATGTTTTACATCCATGCATGGCTGCCTGGCAGGCCTGCACTGCTTGTTTGAGACGAATCTGTCGTACTGGTGGAAGATGCACCCGGATGCCTATGTGGACGTGCTGTCGAGCTTGAGGAAGCACAGGGCAGCAAACCCAGAGCTGCGGGGTTTGGTTGCCGGTCTTGCAGCCAGGCTCTTACGCCACGGGCCAGACAGGCGTGCTCGACACTTTCTTCTCCGAGATGTTTTGGACTTGCTCCGATCACCTGATTTGGAGGATCAGTTCCGTGCAATGGATACTTTGAGGACCTCAGCAGCCGGCTTGGGCCGGTTCACGAGCAAGTTCAAGGCAGCTTTGAATGCGATATTGGCTCAGAAGGCCCGCAGAACAGTGGCACACAGTCAAGCCTTAAAGGCTTTCCAAAGGCTGGACGACCTGTCCTCTCATCGCTCACTTCCGCAAGCACCACGCTCTCTTTAGCTGCGATGTTGAGCGCGCTGTGTACATGTACAAGGCGGTCCCAGAGCTTCATGGCGCGATTAACGATGGCAAGCACAGATGGATCTGACGCTCTGGATCTCATTCTCTGTAGCGGTTGTGGGGCGAACCATTTCCGCTTCAGGAAGCTGGTGGCTCCGAGCGGTGTTCCAGCTTGGACAAGTCCGTTTCGGTCCCCGTACGATGCGGCCTTTGCGGGTGCGGACGTGGATGATATGGACTCCAAATGACTCCAAATACCCAAGCCTGCCTGCTGTAGTGAAGTCGACAGAGGCTCGCAGCTGGCCTGCAGCGTTGAGACGGTGGAGCGAAACAAGCCAAGGTGCTGCTTTCATGCGCTTGCTCCAGGTATGTACTAGCGTGTTCTTGCATCTGAGGGATTGCGTTGCGGGGGTGTGCCCTTCATGCGTTCTCCCTGTTGCACTTGTTTGTGGAGACGGCGCCTCTAAGAGGCCGTGCGAGTAACCACAATTTCTGGTGCTCGGGGTGGGGGGCTGGGGGGGGGGGGGGGGGGGGGGGGGGGGTAATCACGTGACTTGGGACTGCACACCTGCAACTCCAAAGCCTGAACCCCTAATCCCCAAAGGCCTAAACCCTTGCTGTTTAATTCGGGGTTTATAAGCAAAACGCGCCCGCGCCTTGGCGAGAGCAATTTCAAGCAAAAAATGTGTCTGAAACTTCAAAACAAGACCCCCTGGAAAAACACACACACACCAAACAAACGATCCTTAAACCCAAAAGAACTGTCCAAGCAGTGCAAACCCAAATCCTGAAACCTGAACCCTAAACTTTGAACCTTGAACCCTGAAGAAGCATCAACTTGAGGCCACTTTCAGGATCCGGTGCACAAGTCTGTTGGGTTACAACCAAAGCACAATTCCAGAAAATCATGCCTGCGCTGTGGCGAGAGCACTATTTCGAACCTGAACTGCCGGAGCCATAACGCAGAAAAAACTTCCCGAACCGAAAATCGCCATTTGAAAGTTCAACATGGGGAATGAGCAAAACGTGCCCGCGCCTAGACGAGAGCGCAAATTCGAGCAAAAAACGCGTCCAAAACTTAGCTGCGGTGATCACGAATATGTGTGTTTTACTTGGGTTTTCAGCCCACGACGCGAAAAATGTAAACACAGAATGTGTTCAGCCACACGGCCTCTTACGGGCGCCGCCACCTTGTTTGTGCCAGCACCACCACTACCACTCCCACTGCCACTAGCACGAGCACAAGCACGAGCGCAAGCACGAGCACGAGCACTACTAGTTAAGCCGCTTGAGGCTTGGTATCTTACGAGTTGCCGGTTCGGCTGTGGTTTTCCAAAGGGGGTTGGGGGCGCGTCCGGCTGGTATCGAGACCTTGCACATCCCTGCGTGCTCGCACGGGCACTCAGCCGGAACCGTCCGAAACACATCTCCCCAAGATTCCTAGATCCCAAGTTCCTTATCCCCAAGCCCTGAATCGTGATTGTAGAGGAATTTCGAAACTTTCACATCTTGCCACTGGTAGAGGTGAGCCACGGTTCGTGTTTAGGGCTTAGCTTCGGTTTAGCAACAGCACCTGTAGCCTGTGGTCTCATTCGGGGTTCACAGCTGGGTTTAGGGTTTGCCACGTGCAGCCTGATCCCAGTGATCGGTTCCAGTGGGAGGAATAGGCGGAATAGTCTCGGAATAGTATGTGTAGGTGATGTATGCAGGTGATGAGAAGATAGGTGGTGCATTCATAGGTGTGTTTAGCTCTGCGCAGCTGCGGCTCAGTGCCTCTCCTGCAAAGTGCATGACTGAGCCTTGATTTTTGTAGCCTCCCAAATAAAACCTTAACAGAGAGGGGAGAGGATGGGAGAGCTGCAAGAGACGAGAGGGCGAACTCGCACGGGCTGGCTCGCAGAAGAGCATGACTAGAGCCTGTCAGGGGGGGCAATTTAGAAAGGGTCGAGAGCGGACTTTGCTCTGAGCATCGCTCCGCGATCTTTGGAGCTACATTTTCAGCCGGTTTTTACTCTCAGTGCAACACCAGTTGGCGAAAACAGGAGCAGATTAAGATTTGATCATGTGTTGTCAGTGAGTCAGAGTGTTGTGATAATATGTGTTCAGGTGGATCTTGGGAAGGTCCAGCAGCAGAGCAGGTTAAGTGCAATGATTTGTTTTGCAGTGACTCAGACAGTGACTCCACGGTGAGCTCCTTTTAGTGCGCTGGCAATGGGCTTCGCCGACTTGCTCCATGGCGGCTGCAACCACGGTGAACCAGCTGAGCCTCGAGTCACTTTGCTCAGCAAGACTTAATGTAACACTTCATTCAACACTTCATGCAAGACGATTTCCATGCATTGCAAGGCTCTCTCTTCTCTCTCTTCTACCTCTTGCATCATCTTGCTCCGAGGTATTCCTTCGGCGAGCTCCAGCAGGCCTTTCCCTTGTGGGCGTGCGCGATGACATAATGACAGCTGGGCGGCAAAGCATGCTTGCTGAGGCCACCCATGACTTCTGCGACAGCCTGCGCCTAGGCCTCCGCCTTGCACGAAGCATCTAGGTGATATACTCGACGACAGTATAGACCATATATAGGACTAGAGATTAAACATTGAGCACTAGATCAAACATTGAGCACTAGAGGCCCCAAGATGTGCCCACGTCTTTTCTCGGCGTCTGAGTGTGTGTGTGTGTGTGTGTGTTTGTGTCTGTGTGTGTGTGTGTGTGTTTGCTGGGGCCAGCGAAGGAAGGGCATCCCTCGCTTGGAGCTTTCAGTTTCGGTTACTGAGCTGCAAAGTGCCTAAAAGCGGTTTGCCATTGCACATGCGAACATCCATGTATCAAAGGGCGCCAGGTGAAGCTCGTGCACCTAACGTGTGTGACGACGGCCAGCGGACGATTCATCACCATACGCTAACTCGGGTCATGACGAACGGGAGCCAGGCACAAAAGTGGCGCTGGAGGAACCTGAACACCCGCACTTGAGCCCTTGTCCGCGTCAGAGGGTGTTTGCGCAAGAGAAGGCGGCGGACGAGCTGGGAATTGTGTGTACCGCGTCGCCTGCAACGGGCCATGGCTACAACCTTTTCGGGGCTTTCCCGTGACATGACTTCACGTTCCATGGGAAGCAATGCCCAGAATTTCGATCAGTCTTTCGTAGGTATGGGGGCATGGGCATTGGATGGCTTCTCATGTCTGCACTGCGTTGCAAGGACCCCAGAGCCAGGCCAAGTGAATTCGCGGCGTCCCATCGGGTATCGCGTATCGCTGAAGCTTCAATTGTCAGAACACGGAGAAGTCAGAAAGCAAGCAAGCACCGTCACCTTTTGTGTCCCTTTTTTGCTACTCGTCTCGCGCTTCAGCTCGGACGCCGAAAAGCCTAAAAACCCGCGTTTCTCTTTTTTCTCCTGCTCACGCTTTGCTAGCCGGGACCTGGCAGGCTATGGCTCCTTTGGGGGCGTCTTCCGAGGCATCCAGAAGGATGGCACGGAGGTAGCCATCAAGGCCCGTGCAAACACTGCAGTAGAGCAGAGGCAGAGCAGAGAGGGAGTCAGAGGGCTGCTCAACAGCGAACAACAGCGAATTCGAATCTATTAGAGCTTCTCCTCCCTCCCTTTGCATCGCTTCTCAGGTTTTGGATGTTGGCGACGAAGGCGGCTTTGAGGCCCCCAGGGCAAGTTTGTGTGAATGGGGCGTGCTGTGCTCTGCTGCGCAGCGCTGTGACTATCTGTGGCAGCATGCAAAGGGGGAGGGGAAGGGGGTTGAGGGGGGGGTGGGGGTGGGGGTTGCCTCTGGCGAAGCGCGAAGACTTGTCCACTCCCGCTTTCCCGCTTCAGGAGGAGGTGAGGGTGCTCAGCAAGTTTCGACATCCAAACCTGGTGATTCTCATGGGCTTTGCCCGCAACGGGTCGGGATTCCCAGAAATCACCAGGGATGCGAGAGATTTGAGCCGAGCTCGAGCACCGAAGAGACCTGAAAGGCTGCCCCTCAACACTTTCCGAAGGTCAGACATCCAAAAGAGAGTTGTTTTTTGATAGCCGAAGAGTTCGGCGCTTCGGTGCGAGGCCCCACCGGCTGCTCGTCTACGAGCACCTGGGGGGCGGTGACGTGTTCCGACGGCTCCAGCGGTGTGCTCAAGAGAACGTGCCCTCATTCTCAGGTCTGTCATGAAGAGAGATGATAAGAAAGAGAGATGAGAAGAAGAGGAAGGAGAGACCGAGCCCGCAAGCCCAGAAGAAAAAGAAGAACAAGACGAAGAAGAACAAGAAGAAGAAGACGAAGAAGAGGAGGAGGAGGAAGAAGAGAGAGAGAGAGTTAAAGAGACTCCAAAAGACGAGAGAGGAGGCGAGAACGCTAGAACAAGATTCAACGTGCAGCTGTGCTGTGCGGCGCACACAGGTACCGTTCACCTGGAAGGAGCGCATCGGCGTCGCCTACGACGCCTCCTGTGGCCAAGAACTCGGACTCAGCAGTCTGTGTCAGCATGTGCACTGAGTCAGAGTCAGGTGCCTTGATTCAGCCCTCCCCTTCACTTCACCAAGTTGCTGCTAGAAGAATCCCCCAGAGAACCCCCCCGTTTGCGCGCTGCTGGCACAGAGGCCTCTCGCACCTCCACAACTCCTCACCGAAGGCTCGCCGTTTTGTTAGGCCCATGCTGGACCCACGCTGCTTGCATCATCTTGCATCATCTTGCATCTGCTTGCCCTCGGTTTTTTCGCAAACGATCCAGAGCCACGCAGCGTTGGCCCAGTAAGGCTTGGGCCTCATTCGCAAGCTCCATGCAGCACCCGCAGCAAACACCGCACCCGACCTTGCATCCTTTCTTTCTTTCGTTCAGTCGTACTCTGCACAGTACTTGGCGGGGTGAGGGGGTGAAGGGGGGGGGAAAGTTGGGTGGGATTTTTCAGCAGAAGGAGTTCAGGTCAAGCAGCCAAGCAACGCTTCATGAGAGACGCAAGCAATAAAGACCAAAAGATGCAGAGTGAGGGCGGTGTAATTGCAGAGCTCTCTAAGCTTCGACCAAAAAAAAAGAACAGAAGCTGAGCGGAGAACCGAGTGAACCGCCCATGTCATGGCAGGTGTTCCATCGCGACATCAAGTGCCCCAACATCCTCTTGGCCCCTTGGGCTCCCCATTTCAGGGATGCGGAGCGAGCGCTGCGCACGAGAGCTTGAGACCCTCTGCCTACGTAACGAATCAATGTAACATCAGCAGTAAGAAGCAAAGAAGCTGTTTACAGCCCTTGCGTGCCTTGCGTGCCACCTTCGGCCGGAATGTGGGAAAGGGCGGTCTGGATCATGTTGGCCTCTCTCCTTGGGCCCCCCCGGCTCCCCCCCTGGCCCCGTTAGGCCCCATTGGCGGGTTCTGGAGAATGCGAGCCGAGGACCGCAATGGAACTGCCAAGATCGCAGATTTCGTGCCTTGGCGGAGAGCAGGTCCGTTCTCTGAAGGAGAGATAATTAGAGGGATAGGCGGATTCGGCCGGACTCAGGGGAGCTCAGAGGCATACGAGCCACAGAGAGCCAGGGAGAGAGACCAGAGAGTCTCACTGAGGGCTTGGCGTGCTGCTCCAACCACAAGGAGCAGAAGGTGAGCCAGGTGCTTTTCACCTTGACACGTGTGTGACGTGATATGTGTGTATATTGTGTGTGCTGTGTGTTGTGTGTGTGTGTGTGTGTGATGCGTTATGTGTGAGATATAAAATGTCCGGTCTCCCCCAAGACTTACCCTTCATACGTATTTCGTACCTTTTCTCTTCTTCTTTCATCGAAAGCTGTCTGTTGCGCCGTATTCGTCATCAGTAGGGTTGCTTCTGACGTAAACATCTTACATGCCAAGCTTGTGTGGAGGCCGCCGGGACGGTGGGCTACGCGTGCCCACACTACGTCAACCGGGGCGTGGTGACGGAGGGCAGCGAGGCTTCCCTCTCTGTTTGGTTTTCTTCTTCTTTGCTCACATCTCACATCCCAGAATATCCCAGGCCGAGAATCATCCTGAATAACTGCGGAGGTGTACTCCTTCGGCATTGTGCTCCTGGAGCTCCTGACCGCTGCTCAGCCAGCGTACTTGGCGCAGGCGCCCAGCAGCCATGCTCCGAGGCGTTGACAGGATCGGGCTGGGGCAGGGTGAAAAGCCCGGGGCCCGATTCGAAGGATCGAAGGACCCCTGTAGCCCTGCCTTGCGTTAATGAGCACTTGCAGTGTGTCAAGGGTCATGGAGGCAAGGGGAGAGGTGCCGTGGGAAGAGCTGGGAAGGGGGGCGGGGGTGGGCGGGAACACCTCACTTGAGCCTCTTCTTTGGGGGGCCCCCTCCCTCCTTCTTAGGGGCTACCGCCTTTGGAGCCCCCGCTTAAAGAAAGAGGCCCCGGATGGCAGCCAGCAGTACTGCTTCCTGGTCACGCGCATTGGCAACGACGTGCGCGTGGCGGTGCAGATGGCCGACCCGAAGGCGCCCTCTTCCCCGGCTCCTCTCGTCCTCGCTTTTTTTTTTTTTTTTTTTTGGGGGGTGTTCGAACGTATAAGAAGCCGGCTCGAATTATGCCCTGAGGTTTGCCCTCTCAGATGCTCTCTTGAGCTGTCTGCCGTGACTGCGCAGTGCTGTCGCATCGCTTGGGAGGCAAAGTTCCCTCCGGAGGTCGCTGCAGACTTCGCGGCGCTCGGGCTCCGCTGCACCGAATACCAAGAGGCGCGCCGCCCCCCCGAAGAAGCACAAAGCAGGACGCCCTGAGAACAGTTTGCCAACTTTTCCGAGAGTCGGACTCAGGAGTATCGCCCCTTTTTCAGGGAGGTCGTCACGATGCTCAGGAACCTCATCGCTTCTACGGAGGCCGGGCCCGCTGGGCCCCGCCATGAGGGGCGAGGACATGTTTGGATGCAGTGACAGCTCGGAGTGTCAGAGACTGTGCAGGCGCCGGCGCCGCCGCCCTGGCCGGCGCCCCAGGCGCCCCAGGCGCCGCAGGCACCGCAGACGCCGCAGCACCTCCGAGAGCTGCCGGGCTTCTCCCAGATAGCGCAGGCGCACGCCCACGCGCAGGCCCAGGCCCAGGCCGCCCAGCAAGCCGCGCAGGCTCAGGCCCAGGCTCAGGCGCAGCAGGCCGCCCAGGCCCAGGCTCAGGCCCAGGCTCAGGCTGCAGCACAGGCTGCAGCACAGTCAGCACAGTGCCAAGGCTACCAAGGTGTGCAAGGAATGGCAGGTTACCCAGGCTACCCCGCCCTCACAGGAAGCCAAGGCCTTCCTGGGGGGTACCAGGGCTTCAACACCATCAATCCGGACGAAGAGAGGAGGGTGCCGGTGCAGCGCCAAGCCTCCGTGCAGGAGGATCGCTTCCAAGGCGGGACTCGATATGCTCGCAACATCTCACCAAACGGTGCGCACCAAGCAGTTGATATAATGGATGAATGGGGTGCCTCACCCACGCCTCGTGCAGGCAATTCGGTGGCAAGCTCCATGCCGCCGAGTCCGAGCCGCGGCCTTCTTCCAATGACCTTCCTTGACATGATCACGAATGATAAAGAGAGGGAGAGGGAGAGGGAGAGGGAGAGAAACCGATGGAGGTGCGTAAGGTGCAACGTGCCCTGCCGCTTCAAGCCGATGTCTTCACAACGCTTCTTTCCTCCTCTTTCCTCCTCCTTTCCCCCTCGGCTTCCGACTGAGGCGCGCAGATGGCCATGCGGGCGACCTCGGCGCGGGCGCTGCTCTGGAGCCTGGAGCCGCCCGGCTTAGGGGCTTCGCAGAGGGGTCCCGCTAGGCCGGTTTGTTCCTACAAGCTTTGGGCTGGCAGGTGACTGCACTGTAAGGGTTGTGCAGCCGAAGCCGAGGTGTGTGAAGTCGGAGTGTGCGGGTGACCTCTCCTCCAAGCCCAAGGCGTGAAGAGAGGGAGAGAAGGGGAGAAGGGGAGAAGATGAAGTTGAAGAGACGAGAGGAAGAACGAGTGCCGTTTCGTGGCGCCAGCGCGGCAAGCTACCTTCCATTCTGTTCGCTCTTCCGCTCGGGGGCCACGTGTCAGGATCAAAGAATCCTGGTGCACTGGAGGGAAGTGGCCGGATCGCTGCAGCGCGGTGGCACTGGACACAGGGGACACATGTGCTCTAGACCTGAGTGCAGTGGTGCGCACCCATATGCCACACAGAATGTGCCCAGAAAGATGTGCGTTTTTAGCCAGGCCCATGTATCGTTTCGGGCGCCTTTTCCAAAGCGACTTCTGCCGGATGATGCTCCCAGCCCGAGGCCTCAGAGAGAATCCGCGACAGAGGGAGGTTCCCCGGCTTAAGCGCGAGCCCCCCCCCCCCCCGCCCTCCCAGTTTTGTCCAATGTTGTTTTGACGGTCTTCTCGCGCAGTAAGGACGAGCACTTCCACTCACAGGTCTCTCGTGAGCACTTCCAGATCTGGGCGGCGTTCTCAGACCCCCCGCCCCTCTTTCGATGTCCCACCTCCCTCTGATGAGCTCGCTGAGGCGGAGGAGTGGCCCGACGTGGGCTTCCAACTGCAGGGCCGGCCCTGCTCCTGCCCCTCGGTTGGACATCTGTGGGGGGGAGCATGGGCTGGTTACACAATGAGTTACACAATGAGTTACACAATTTGTTCTGCATATGGTTACACTGTTACACCATGCTCTCGCTCTCGCCCACTTCTTGCCTGCAGTCTTCCTCACGAACTACGGCACTGTCGGGACCATCGTGGATGGCCAAGTGCTGGACACCCGCGGGCAGCATGCCGTGCTCCATGACGGCCCGCCCGGTAGAGAGAGAGAGAGTGGGCGCAGAGTGAGCTGAGTGAGTGAGCTGAGTGAGTGAGCTGAGTGAGTGAGCTGAGAGCGAGTGATCTCTGAGAGAGAGAGCCTGAGCCGCGAGGGAGCCGCGTCGCCCTGCTGCGACGCGTCGTGGACAAGGGCAGGGAGTCCAAGGCAAGGGAAGCGCAGAAGGGAGGGAATGGAAGGGGATCAGAGCCGGAAGCGCAGCGGCCGCCAGCGTGAAGTTTAAGTGCCGAAGCGGAATCTCAAAGCCTCCGCACAGGGATGTTCTGACTCACGAGGGCTTTTCTGGTGCTTCTTTTGGTGCTGGTGCTGAAAAAGAAATAGCATGACAGATAATAAATAGCAGATCTGATACGAAAGACCGGAAGTTGCGCCGATTCTAGAGTGCGAAGCCCAGCTGCGCTCTCTTTGCTCTCTTTTTGCCACTGTGAACTAGGCAATTTGGCCCGTCAGGTGGAGTTCCTGGAGTTCAAGTTCCGTCTGGACGGGCCTGGAACTTGGTTTCCTTATAAAGGAGTTAGCCGACTTGTTGCGACTTTCCAGCTTTTTTCGTCGGCATGCTGGCTTGGTCTTGCAAACAGAGGCGCTCTGTGTTTAAAGCTTAGAGGGTCGTGGATGCGTGGATGTCGATTGTCTCCTCGCAAGGGGAGGGCACAGCGATAAATGGCAGCAGTAGCACAGCTTGTGCATCCAAGCCGCAGCCAAGATCTATCTTGATGGATGCAGATGCCATGGGCCTGAGCTGACATGGATGAGTTCTTCCATCCTGCTTTCCTGTTCGCCCGTATGCAGTTTCGCAAGCCCGCACAGCTCACTGAGGACATCTACCAGTCCCTGCCAGCCGCTCGAAGAACTTCGGGGACTCCGCCTGCTGGGGAAAAGCTGTGTCTACAAAGAGCCACAGGGTCTTAAGCCAACTCACCACACTTGATGTGCAGGAGCTGTGAGGCACCCTCATCGCCTTTGGCTGCAGGTCCGAGTCTTAAACTGCAGCACGCACTTTGAGCCCTCCTGCAGCGGGTGTTTTTCAGCGTGGCTTCGTGCGTTTCAGCTGCGTAGAGTTTTGCAAAAAACTTTTCGCTTGAGCTCGTTGTGTAGCTCGCAAAGGAAGAGCGCACGCGTCCTGCAACAACGACGGGGGATAGGTGATCGGCCATGGCCACTTCGCCGCTCCCGTCCGGGGTTTGGAATTTTTCCCTGTGTTTCGACCGCAACCTGTCGGGAGTTGTTGTAACCACGGATCCCCCAGCTTCCCGGAACATGGTTTTGGGAAAACTTCACGAGTCGACTCCCTTTGAGCCCATGCGACTTTTGAGAGATGCGATATGCGTTACGCGTAGCACTTGTTAAAATAATGCGGTCCTGCAGTCAACAGTGTTGGTCCGTGGGGCTGGCGTCTTGACTTCTCAAGCTTCGAGACTTGGACCTTGACGTATCATGCGGAAGGCCAAGGTAGCATCTTGGCCCGCATGACTCGACGATCATATCTGCAGAGCCCCCCCCCCCCCCCCCCCCCCCCCCCCCCCCGAAAGTCCGAAAGTCTCTTCTTTTGCGGCTGTTTGACTCTTTGCCTTCTCTGCATGTCCGGCTGGTTCCGCGGCCCGAAATCCCTCGAAGCCAGCACTTCAGTGATGCAGAGCTGTGCGATGTGAAAAGGCACAGCAGACCCCCAGAAGGTCAGAGAATGTTGGCCTGTTGCGAGTGAGAGCAGTGGAGATGGAATCATAAATGGCATCATGGAATCATAGAACCTGCGTTGCAGAGGCAAAGGCGCCCCAGAGATGGCGAGGCTGGGAGCCTTTGTGGCCTGGAATGGCCCTTGATCTCTGCCCTTTCCGGGCTGTGATTCCTAGGAAAGAGTCCGGAAGAGTCCAGGAAGTCCGGAGTCCGTTTTGCCCCAAAAGCTTAAGCTTTGAGTGGAGGTGCGGCGACGCGGTGCAGGGCGGGATATCTTTCGCGGGGCCTGATGTGGAGCCAGTCTTCATCCTCGAGGCACCATTTAGGAGGACTTGATGCAGCAGGGGGGGTGGGAGGGCAACTCTCAAAGGGCACAAGAGCGCAAGTCAAAACCTTGCAGTGCTCTTGCAGTGCTCTTGGAGTGCACGTTCTCTTCCTTTCCTTTTCTTTCGTGTAAGATTTTGCAATTCACAGCTCGTCAGTTGGGTGGCACGGCTCTCCGTGCCGGCGCCCGGCGCCCTAGGGCCCTAGGGGCCCACGGAGATCGAGAGAGAGAGAGAGAGAGAGAGCAGAAGCGAGAGAGAGAGAGAGAGAGAGCGAGGAGAGATGTGGGGCGGCTCCCCTTGGGGGGGGGGGGCCAAGTTGAGAGAGAGAGGAGAGATATGTGTGTGTGTGTTATCACGGTATGCTGCGAATCTTCTTTCTTGCCATTCTTCCGAGGTGCCCCGGGAGAACTTCCGCGTGCTCCATGGCCCCTCGGCCTCGGCGATCGCCTCGGCGCCTGCTTGCGAGGCGCGGCACGGGGGGGTGGGGGGTGTTTTTTTTGGGTTTAGGGTTTAGGGTCCAGGGTGAGTTCCTCAGAGAAGAGCTGGGCTTGGGACTCTGGGAAGTTTGGCGCTGCCCTTGGCGAAGGTCCCCTGCCCGCCCCTGGCGCTGGGGAGCCGGCTGCAGCCAGGCTTAGAAGTGTCTGACGTGAGTGTCGAGGAGATGGCACAAAAACCATAGAGAAAAAGTACAGTTTAGTATGATGTGGTTGTCATATAGAAAATTATGGTCTCGTGCTGTATAAGGTGTGCCGTGAACGTGCGCCTGTGCCAAGTTGTTGCCCTGAAAAAGCTCCCTCATGTCAGCACCCACGGGGCCTTGGCGTCTGCCCATGCATGTCCGTCCGCGCATGAAGACACGGTTCTGCGAACGGTCGGGTGCAGCGGAGGCTTTTGGAGCAGGATCCTGACAGATGATGCGCGTGCCCGGCCGGGTTGATTCAGCCGCTCTACCTCTATAGGGGAGGGACCATTGCAGTTCGTCTTTGTAGAGATCGCACAGAAGTCTGTAGCGTAGAGGCCGTCAATATCTTGAGCTGCTCGCCAAGACACCCTTGGCAGGAAGGATTTCTTGGCGGAGCAGCACCTCGACCTGCAGATCGAGGTCCGGCGCATTCGTCGTATCTGACGGTATATCCTGTCAATGCATACACCCACAGAGCAAGTGGCTGAAGCTTGTGCGTCACCATCCACCACCATGCCGGGCGGCACATCGTCATGGATCATGTTCGGCACCAGTTGAGTGCGGCACGACGTGAAGGAGGGCTCATATCACCTCATATCATCTCTTATCATCTCTTATCATCTCTTATCATCTCATATCAAGGTTGTGGTGAGTGGGCTTGTGTCCCTTTGGGGAGCCTCGCAGCAAGGAGGAGAGAATCTGAGTGTCAGGTGGACGAGAGGCTGGAGGGCCCGGAGCAGCGCCTCTTCTACCTGAGGAGAGTGCGAAGGGGGAGAAGGGGGAGAGTGCCAACCCCGTGCTCAGCTGCGACTCTGCTTTCAAGTGCAAGGTTTTTTGTCTGCAAGTGCGGGGGAGGAACCTCAGCGAGCTGTCGATGAAGGTGGAGGGCGCTCCGGAGGCGACGCGCGAAGCGCGAAGAGTCTTGCCTCTTTCTGGACTAGGTTCCGACGCCTTGAAACTTGAAACTCTCGGATGCTGCCATGCGCAGGGACATGACAGCGTCCGCTTTCCGATGGAGGTGCCCATGTTCTGTGTGTGCAATTGTGTGCAGGTGCACAATGTGCAATTGTGTGCAGGTGCAAAGGTCATTCCTGCATATTCCTGCTTAGGCTTACATGGGTTCGTTTAAAGACATGAATTGCTGGTGGCCACCCCTCCCTCACCTGCAGGCAGGTCCGTACAATTGTAAGCAGGATTATAACGCGCTTTCGGGTCGCAGGACGGCCGGTGGCAGCTGCACCACGGCGACACCGTCCTCTTGAACCTGCGCAAGGCCTCTCTCACAAGACCCCGGCGTTCCACTGTGTCTCCATACCACCCCTTGGCCGCATCCGCCCAGGGGAGCTCCATGTGGATGTGTTTCCGCGAGTTCGCGGCCAAGGCGCTAAAATCACGGGACACGTTTCTGCAACACCAGACCCCTCTTCTTGGTTGGAGTTTGTTAAAGCATTGTTTAAAACCTTTTGTCCCGTAGCACACATTGACGGTGGAGTGAATGCAAGCGCTCCTTGTTCTTTGCCAAGCGAAGGGCGGAATGCGGCAGCGAGTACTGAAGAACGTTCCCGGATGTGCCCCACATTCCCAGCTTATTTCCCTTGCCTTCTGCAATGCGCACCCTCCCCTGCCCTGCGAGGCACCGTCCCTGAGTGATGCCTAGGGGCAGCGATGGCCGACGAGCTGCAACATCCCGCTCCAGACCTGACGGAAAAGAAAGCTGCGACTCTTCCGTGCAGACGAGTGGAGGGCATGGTTGTTCAAGCACTTTGCAGTCTTGTGAGCGAGGATGCCAATCTTGTTGTATCTTGCTGTGTTGCCGCACATCCGAAGCTTCATCAGTCACCAGTCAGCACATCCTCTTTCCGGAAACTTGCTGCGCGCCGGCCTGATTAGAATCTGTCTTCGAGCCTACAAGACATGCCGCAGTGTGAAGCGTGTTTTTTGCCGTTGATCGTTGGCTTGGCTAAGGCCATGGGAGTGCAGGCTCTCATCGAGCTCTGGGAGGTGACATTGTCGGAGAGCGGCTTTCGCAAAAGAGCAGCAGAAGCATCAAGAGATAGAACGAAGCTGAATAGCAGGCGTGGCCCACTCGGCACAGGCAGGTGTGGACACTGGCGCCGATTTCAAGAGCATTATGAGATTAGCAACACCTCAGCACCTGTCGTGGAGTCAATGGCAATGGAAGCAGCTTGGCAGGTCACACACCTTCTGCCAACTTCAGCCTCGAACGGTATCACTCCCAGCTTTTCCTTTCTCAAGCTGTTGAGGCTACGCGAAGGCACTGATCATGACAGAGCTTGATTCTGAAGGCAAAATAGAGATGCTTGCCGACAGGAATTTGTGTGGACATCACGCACAACTTGGGATTCAGATTGCAACATCGGCGAAGTTTGACACAAATTCTGGGTTGGGTAAGTTGAGGCGGGCTGCCAACGCAAGTCCACTGGGCCACCTGTGGAGGCACGCAATTCTCGAGAATTCGTTTGGGCAGTCAGGGGCAAGCGAGCGCGGCACGTGTCAGAAGAGCATCTCTCATTCACTCTGTAGCGTTGCTACGTGAACTATCTTCGGAGCTTGGCAGTATGGTTACAACTGCTCTTCTTCATCTTCTTTGGCTCACACGGAGGGTCTCAATCGTCTCAGGTTAGGCCAACTGCGTGTTGTGGGGCGCTGCCATGGCTCTTCCTCTGAAGGCCGAAGCGGAAGCTGTTTGGTTGGGGCAGCCCCTTGCTCAGTGACTTCATGCGATGTGCACAGTGATGCAACTGATGCAACTGCAATCGTGTTTGCTTCCTGCTGGGGCGGGCGCAGGCGCCTTTCTGGAGACCAAGATCGACAGAAGGCGGCCACGTTCTCTTGTCGCCGACCTGGACCAAAGCTTTGGGTGTGCATCCTTGTGATACGTGGATGGGCTACTACATACGAAGGCACCGAGGCCGGCTCAAAGAAAGCTGCAAAGGAGTCAGCGGCGGCAAAGTTCTACGAAGACCCCGCCGCGCGAAGCCGCATCAAGCAACTGCGCTCCGAAGAAACGCGCAGTCAGATGAAGAAGCGCCATTTCATCCAAGGCAAAGGCAGAATGCCCAAGCAACACTTGGTGCAGTGATGTTTCATGAAGTTCCCCCATGGCGCCATGTCGCCTGCAAGATCCACACAGCCGTTGGACGTGCAAATGCTTCAGCCGAAAAATTGATGCCTGCTGCGATTGTGGAAAAACGCTTTCGTAGGCTCAACTAAGTTCACAAGAGCCATTAGTGCATGGCTTGCATGGACCTGTTAGTTGTGGGTTTATGTGTTCGGGGACATCGCCAGCGACATGTTGTGACATGTTGTGTAGAAGCAGTGCCCGCAGGCGGATGCCGAGGTCTTGGTGGAACAAGGCGTCAGCCCTGTGGTAGTACGAAGTCTACGAATAACAGTAACTAGCCGTAACATGTCGGCGTGCTGAAGACAGGTGGTGGCGCTTCGAGTTCGCCGGCGGCAACGCCAGGCCGTGTTTGTGACCAGTGAAGGCTGTAATCTACAGCGTTTCGTTGTTTGTCTGGGGTTGGATGGAGAACTGATGCAGCCATGCAGTGCAGAATGGTTTGCACACAGTGATATAAATCACATGGAGCCGTGTCAGTTTCGCGCAATGTTTGAAGTCAACGGGGTTCGCGTGGGAATGCAGGGGGGGGGGGGGGAGGGCAGTACACTCGCATAATTATGAACAACCCAAATGACGGTACGTAACTCCTAAAAGTCCCCTTCAAAGATCCACGGCGATGTTGATTGCATGTGCCACGAGTCCCTAGTCCACTCGATGCACGGGATTTCATGTGAAAGATGGGACCTCCTCTGGAAAGAAAGCGATATTTGCGCCAAGGTAGGTGCTTTTAAAGCGTAAAGCAACAGTTATGCGTTGTGGAGCAGCCAATGCAGGTGCAATGACCGAGGCTCTGACCGCGGCGGCAGCGCCAGTGCAACTGCCATGGAAGGCAATTGCAAGCGAGAGAGAGAGAGAGAGAGAGAGAGAGAGAGGGAGAGAGGGAGAGAGGGAGAGAGAGAGGGAGAGAGAGAGCGAGAGAGAGTCAGAGAGAGCGAGAGAGCAACCGATAGTGCACCCCCTGAACAGCGAGCATGGCAAGCATTCGTGAAGGGCGGCATTTTAACAGAATGCGGGCGAGTAGCCTATAAGCAATGCTGCGTCGCTTTAGTTGGCGCAGACGCGCCCCTAGTGCCGTTCCCGAGGAAGGACCGCAAGAGCCAAAAAGAGCTCGTCGCTATTCTGACTCGCTGCTGTGTTTCTTGTGGCAGGCGTCTGCTGTTGGCGATAACTTGTGTGGAGGCTGTGGCTCAGCGCGATTGCACTTGTCAGTGCAATCGACCTGGGCTACGCAAATTTGTTTGAAGTCTTGCACGCCTTCGTGCAACAGCTGCAGTGTCCCACATCACTTGGCTTGTGCCAGGCTGCAGCACAAAGTGGCCCCAACTTTTCGTTTGTCGCCCAGCCGCTGGTGGTCGGTCTGCCCTGCACCGCACTGCGCATGGTGGCGTAATGTCGCACAGCATGACAAACATGAAATTTCGAATTGAACCCAGCTTACCCCGCCATGCGGCATGCTTCGAGCGCTCAGAAGCAGAGTCATCTCTCAGGCAAATCTTGGAGACCTACTATCACAGAGCTGTGGCGTCATTGCCTGCGAGGCCAGTTTTGAATCTTGACCAGGTCTAGCTGTGAAGACGGGATGCAAGACGTGTCAAAGACAACGTAGGCCAATCTGGTAGGCTGAGAATGAGCTTCTTGTCATGGGTGCTGTAAGTTGTAATGAAGTTTGCTCCAGTTCGAGTTGTCAATCTCTCTTGCAGTGTTGAACTCCAAACGACTGTGTTGCGCACACCTCCGCTTCTTGCAGCACTTCGCCGGACTGGTTTCTTCGGCGTCCGGCAGAGCGCCCACTGGTGGAAGTCCGCTGCTGAAAGTGTACTGTGGGATGACTTGCTTGTGACCCATTTTTCGCTGTTGTTTTATGCGTTTGCTGCACTTGGCTTTCCCCTGAGGTCCTGACTCATCCGCGACCTGCGAGACCGCGCTGGGCAGACATCGTCGACGAAGGCCCCGGGCAACATTCTTGCAACAGTTTTCGAGCCTTCGGCTTATGTTACTGTCTGCTTCTAGCAGATGCCAGCGACGATGATGGTGCTGGGGTCTCTTTTGACGGCAGTGGGCCTGGGATTTGCCGTGCATGCTAGAAGGATCCATGCATTTGTCAAATTCGGCCCAGTGCGAGGTGACAACTCAGCTGGCGACGTCGATGCCCGAGAGGCATGTGGTTCCGTTCCGCGTCCTGGATCCTTTGTCTGCTAACTGAACATGCTTTTGCCGAGGCGGATGCTTTCGGATAGAAACGTAGCATGAAGTCATCCTCCAGATCTTGAGTGAAACAATCAGGTTGAACAAAATCTTCAACAGATTCTATTGACAATATCTGAGAAGCAGGTGCTCCCGCAGCCACTCCCGCAACCGCCAGCACAAGAAGGCTTGGGGAACGTGTGACACATTGCAGACCTGCTAGGTTACGCAGTTCAGGGTCCAGACTGCGTCTGCGGCGTAATCCAGGTGGGGTTGTGCGACGCCTTTTTCCAAGCAAAGGCCTGCCCGAAGCTGGGATTGTTTGAACCTGCAGCTCGCCGACTAGCCGATGTGCGCAAAACACGCTGATGCCTTTTCAGGCTTCGGTTTCCTGCAGCGCACCGGTCACGGTCACGGTTCCAGGCAAACCACAGATCAACGGAAACTTCTCGTCAACAGAGTGCTGGTGTAGGGTTTAAGGTTCAGGGTGTGGCTGATCTTTCGTTATCCTCTTGTTCTCTAGGGGTGCTCAAGCTTTTCGTTTCTGTGGCTGTTGTCAGGCACGACATTTTCTTCCACTTCTCGGACCTGAAGCCCCACATCAATTCCTGGGATCTTGCGGTGGGCGCCCGCGTAAGGTTCTGCTGGGAGGTGCCCGTCGATTTCTGTCGGTTTCGTTTTGCCTCTTTCGCGAAGTTCAGGAGCCAAGAGACAAAAAAAGACCAGGTGGGCGGGCTCGCCAGGTTCTGCTGGATCCAGTGACTTCGTGGCATTGGTGCTGCCATCTGCTCTTTTGTTTTTTTTGGCTAGGCGAATTAGCTCATGAGACTGTTGAGGGTCCGGTGAGGGCTCTAGTCTGACTGTACCAGAGATTCATTGAGCCCGGCGTGCTGTGAAGGTCCGCCTCATAGATTTCATGCCCTCTTGGTCAAGCTGTCTTGAGACATCCGCAACTGGCCGGCCCAACAGGCGATCTTGCAATAGCTTGAGATCAGATGAGTCAGATAAGGACTGGAAGCATGATGACGACGATCGGCGTAAAGACTGGAAGAAGGTTCGACAGTTTTCGGGTAAATGCCCAGCAATGCAAAGCACCGACATATTGACAATGTTGCATTCTGCTCAGGGAAGTGGTTCCTGCAGACGCAGAGGCAGTTGTAAGAGCGACTCCTATGACAAGGCTATTGTGCGACCTTTCGGTGCGCAGGTCCGTGCGGCCATACCCACTCCTCGCATGACAAATCTGCATCTCGTCGACTGAATGCGAAGCATCAGCGATGAACCAGCTCATCAGCTAAGCTGAGCCTCTGCAAGTGCGATTCGAACACTTAGTTTCTCCTGCCACTGCTCAGTGCAAAGCACAAGGGCCACGCCAGCTGTAAAAGCGGCTGTCATCGTACTGCGTCTACATGTTTCTCCGTCCGAACAGCTCGGATGCTAAGAAGCAGAACGTGAAAATTCAGTGGAAGTGAGGCGGACTTGAGCTGGGAACCCTTGGAAAAACTTTTCAGGTCGACACACAGGGTCCAGTATTCTGCCTGTGCCCTGGGCTGCTGACGTATCCACAAGCATGTCGGCGTTCTTTTCCGAAAAAGCACGGCTTGCTTCCAGCTGAGCAATGGGTTTCTTGGAGCCATGATTGATTCCCAGCGAAGCAGCCGCGGAAGGTGCGCTTCGAATGACATGCCACATGGTACGTGGGAAAGTTGTTGACCTTTGGTGTTGACGTCGCCTGGCCCGCAAAGTCACGGAGAAGAGTAGTGTTTCCAACATTGCTTGAGCTGGTGGCAGTCCTGTTCTCATCAAAGGCACCTTTACCGTAGGCACACCAGCAGTCGCGTGTTGTTGGGGTAGCACAGCCAGGCCGAGGCATCTTGAGGCGAACACCTGGAATTGCAACCCCCACGACTTGCAAGCAAGACAAGCCGAAGACCTGGCTTCTTGCGGTCAGGTCAGCTTGAGAAGCTGGGTCGAATTGGAGCAGTCCATCGCCCGCAGCCCCAGAGCACGTGTAGCACGTCACTTTGCAGGTTGCCAACAATGGGGGTTCCCGGCGTGTAGTTCTCTCTTAAGCATTTCAAGAGAACACTCCCCATTCAAGAGCTGCTTCTCTTATGAGCCCAAACCCGGAGTTCTGCTACAATGCTACACGATACTACCCTTCGAGGACAGGACCCGCCGGCCTCTCCAAGCCCACCTTCGCCTCGGGCTGAAGTGGGCTCCTTCAGGTGTTGATGGGCCCTGGGTTTCAGGGTAGCAGGGCTTTTGTAGGTTTCGGGGTTCAGGGGAAAGCTTAGAGTGCATAGCTCGACTTCTGCTGGGAGTGGGGAGGAACAATTGCAATTAGGTGCTTGGGACTCTGGGAAGTTTGGCGCTGCCCTTGGCGAAGGTCCCCTGCTCGCCCCTGGCGCTGGGGAGCCGGCTGCAGCCAGGCTTAGAAGTGCCTGACATGAGTAGGAGATGGCACGACAGCCATAGAGAGAGAAAGTACAGTTTAGCATAATGCGGTTTTCATATAGAAAATTATGGTCTCGTGCAGTATCAGGTGTGCCGTGAACGTGCGCCTGTGCCAAATTGTTGCTCTGAAATCTCCGTCATGCGAGCCTTCAGCACCCACGGGGCCTTGGCGTCTGCCCATGCATGTCCGTCCGCGCATGAAGACACGGTTCTGCGAACGGTCGGTGCAGCGGAGGCTTTTGGAGCAGGATCCTGACAGATGATGCGGGTGCCCGGCCGGGGTTGATTCAGCCGCTCTACCTCTATAGGGGCGGGAC